AAAAAAAAAAAAAAAACAAAGGAACAAAAGTATGGCCTAAGTCAAAGTAAGTGAACTGATAAAATCTAGATAGGAGGCAACATTATTTACAGGGGTTGGGTTGCTCCAACTAAAAAGGTACACTAGACCTTTAGCTTTCAAAAAATGAGGAGGAGTTGAAACTCCATCAAAACATATGCGCTTCCTCTCTGTCCAAAGAACCCAAAAGATGCATGGAGGGATCATCTTCCAGATTTTCCTGATGGCTCTGTCAACTTTCCACTTGTTCCACCCTTCAATTGCTTCCTTAATGCCCTGAGGTAGGGTCCAGCTTATTCCCATAATGGAAAAAAACATAGACCACATGGAAGTGGCTACTGGGCAGTGAAGAAGAAGATGGTTAATAGACTCTGATTTTTGTTGGCACATGTAGCATCTATTAGCTAGTTGGAAACTCCTTCTACAGAGATTATCTTGTGTGAGACAAGCTCCCCTTAGAGCTGTCCATGAGCTCCCCTTAGGTGTTCTGTTGGCCTGTAAGAAATTGTGTGAAATCACGCGGGTGTCCCATGCTAGTCCTGCATTGCAGACTGAAAAATGCTTGTTTTTGTGAATGGCACTGCAGGGGAACAGTAAATTTTTATAAGCTTTTATAACATTTGGAAACAAATCCTATTGAATTGCATAATAGATGATTCTTTGACTACCTCAATCTCCACAGAGTGATATTATCATCATGTCCTGCTGTCCGCCTTCTTTCGCGGAAACTTTAGATATTTCGATTGTAGGCTTCCTCCGTAGTAAATTGCCATTTATAACAATCATTATAGGACGACATGGCTGTATTCTCACTCAGGTGATATACTCTAGAGGAGATACTCGAGGTGAATATAACTAGGTTTGACATTGCTTTATGAGGCATATTCTTCAAACATATTGGTATAATTTAGTAGCCCCCAGTTTGAGTAGGGTGAGTGGCTTTTGGCGTTCCATTACCGTATCTCCTTTAACAGTTGCACTAATATGGAGACATCGAGCAGAAATTGGTTTCTAAGACTCGAATACATTTCTCAGTAAGAGCTCAGAGTTATGGAGAAAAAACTATTTTTAGTTTTCATTAAGCTAAGAAAGCGAATCATGTATATGCTTACCTAATCAAGCTTTTTAAGATAATATTACTCATGAAAAGCACCCCTGAGATGGAAAAGAAAACAAAGACATGGGTGCTATTTGTAGTTTCTTCCATTTTAGAAGCATATTTGTCTATTGGTTTGGAAACAAATTGAAGTAGTCTTGTGTACTTAGACCTCTATGTTCGGTATATGTCCAAAGTTATTCAGTTGTCTGGAACAGCAAGCGTTCTCGCGTAGTTTTCTATTCGAATACTGACTATTTACTGAAATATAATTACATAAACAGTAATGTGAGTTCTAATGATCTCCTGTTGAATGTGTGTGGTCCTTATTCTGTGCAAGGAGTATCCTTAAAATGCAAGTTTAAATATGTACAAACAAACTGTTTAAGATGTGTAGATAAACTTGTGAACTTCTGCTTCGAGATTGCATATTTTATCTTAATATCTTGTGCACTCCTTTGAGCACGCCTATGCTTCTATGTACAAAAAAAATATTTAAGTTACAAGGTTGTCTGGTGTTCTGTATCTGACATGCTAAGCTATGCATAGACTGTAGCACGTCCTGCTGCCTTTTACGTAGTGGTTTCTGCTTTTTGCTATTGTTCATTCATTACTGTGTTTACTCTTTTTCATTGTTTACTTAATCACACGTTAAACTATAATCAGGTCAGGGTTTCAGCGTAGTTCTTCCTGAAAAATTGCAGACAGGAAAATGGAATGTGTACAGGTGCGTGTATTCTCTACTTCAGTCGCGTAATACACATGATTGTTTCTTATTTACGTGTTCACAGGTGTGGCCGTACATATAATGCACACATTCACTCATATATACACACACATGTACATACACACACATACATATATAATGTATTATGTATTATGTATGTATAATTATAACTTTAGGAATCATATGAGGAACTAAGTGATGATTATTGCAGATCTGCACGATCTCCTCTGAAGCTTATTACTAGATTCCCTGATCATCCTGAAATTGCTACACTACATGATAACTTTGAGTAAGAATCTCATCTTCAACTTTTTACTTTTAACGCTTTTAAATATAGAGAAGAGTTAGGCATGCACCTTGTATTCTGCTAATAGATAATTTGGTTTTCTGTGACATTTACTGGCACAGTTTTGTTTTCTCTTTTCCTTTTGAATTCTTGGTCTGCTGTATAGTCCACTATTACTGCGACAATATTATCTCATTGACCTTATGTACATTCTTATTTAAATTGTTCGTAAAGGAGATATGTTGCTTATTTTTTGATATTGTCTGCATACTTTGGTCGTACATCTCCTGTTTCATCTGATAATATTTTGTGTTCAGACATGCAGTTCAAACCTATCAGGATTACAAATACTTGGGTACACGTATTCGGGTAGATGGAACTATTGGAGAGTAAGCATTTCTACTGATTGACAATGCCTGGTTGGATGAGATGAGGGTGAGAAGTTTTCTGATTGCACATTTATTTCTTCCATTTCTTTGATGTAGCTACAAATGGATGACATATGGAGAGGCAGGGACTGCTCGGACTGCAATTGGTTCTGGACTTCACTATTATGGATTGCAACCGGTATACCAAATGTGGATCAGTGCACATTCTTAAACTACGTACATTCTTTTACCAACTAAGAAAGAAATTTCCACACAAAATTTTCCCAAACTTCCTTGTTCTTTTTCAAACACTAACTAGAATTTATTGGGGTATGTTAGTGTGATAAACTCAGTATCATGTTTGATTTCTGGACGTTTAACTTTTTCAGTGGGTCAGTTTACTTTTTTTGTCGGTGATTCTCTATGACTCATATCTGTGTGCCCCAATGACTATATAATCATTGACCTTTTCCAATTTCAATGCACCAGGGTGCTCGCGTGGGACTTTATTTCATAAATAGGCCTGAGTGGCTGATCGTAGACCATGCCTGCTCAGCGTATTCATATTCTTCAGTCCCACTATATGACACTCTTGGTATGTAGGTGGCCTTTCATTAAAGTTTTCTTTGGCTGGTAAGATATATTAAACTTGTTATATCGTTGTTTGTAGGTCCTGATGCTGTTAAATATATTGTCAATCATGCTGATGTACAGGCCATTTTTTGTGTGCCTGGTACCTTGAACACGGTCAGTGAAACTCCTCCCCATAAGCCGAGTATACTCCTTTTACATATTTCTGAGACATGTCAGTATGAGGCGTTAATGCTAACATTGTTTTGATCAACTTGAGTTCTTAGACACTTCAGCAGCATGAATAGAACTGTGGAGGACTCTATTACGTTGCCCATAGTCTACTAATGTTAGTTTGAGAAAAGAACTCCATAATACATTCTCAGTGGCCTGTGCTAAATTTTAACTAAATGAAATGTTTAACAATCAAAGAAGCCCCCATTTATTATTGAGTGCTAAGCTTTAACAGTCGATGAAACTCCTCGAGTAGGGTTAATGACCTTTTACTCTTTTAGGACAGTGATACTGGTAGATGACTCAGTTTAACACTTCATTCTAGTCCTTAGTTCTAGTTCATTTATGTTATTTAGCTACCTTGACCTCTTCATCCTGTCTGGTGATATTGTTATGTTTCTCCATTCCTCTGAATGCTGTTTCACAAAGAAAATGCTAGTTCCGTCCTTTTCAAAAGAAAGAGAGAGAGAGAGAGAATAAAGAAAATCCTTGTTCCTTGTTGTTCAAGTTTCACATACTTTTACCTGTGCTCTTCTCCCAGTCTTAGCTAGGTTTCATCTATAAAGAGATCCTTATAAACTATTTGAGAAGGCTAGTCTAATGCTGGTACTTTATACTAAGTAAGCTTGCTTTCTTTGAGACTACAATCTTTTTTACTAGATACATCTAATTAAAATTTTTATTTTCTGTAATCCTTCTACGTTAATGGTGAAAGTTGTTGAAGTTCTCGCTAATGACATTTCTTTCACGGAATTTTCAGTTGTTGACCTTTTTATCGGAGATTCCTTCTGTACGTTTGATTGTGGTAAGAGCTATTGCTTTTCCTATTTTTGGTTTGCTCATATAATATGTGATGGCAGCTTGTTATATCTTTCGTTTATTTGCTTACACTGTCTTTGATGGTGTAGGTAGTGGGTGGGATAGATGAACATCTGCCATCTCTTCCATCTACAACGGGAATGAAGCTCTTATCATATACAAGGCTGCTGAGTCAGGTACTTTAAATGATACATAAATATGTTACTTGGACTATAGCTGTTCCGAATTTGGTGCGTCAACCTGAATTCAGAGGGATAAATTTGGTAGATATACCTCCCTCCTAGTCTTTGTGTCTTATGTTGAGTAGCTAAGAGCATCATTAGTAGAGGGAGAGACACCTTATAAGATGCCATTGAGGTTGTAGATCTTCTCCCTTTTCCTTTTTTATGGCTAGCAAATTGATTTGCTTCGACTCTACTTTGTGTCACCTAGAATTCCTTCTGTCTTTTATATGCGTGTTTATGAAGGACTGGAGGGGGGGAGGGGGAGGGAAAGAGACGGGGGAAGGTAGAGATAGGTCTATCATGTTTTGAATCTGTTAAAAGTAAAACTTTGTGACCTGGGGATTACCTCTAAGTTGTAACAAAGTTGTAATCAGAGTTTATCTAACCTGTCTAATAAGTTGTATTTTCTCTCTAATGTCATGTTATATTATGGGCATTCTTGCACATCATTTGCTCTCTTTCCTACAACTTAACTATACTGCTTTAGAAACTTTACAATGACTGATCTACATGTTTTCCAATAGGGCCGCAGCAGTATGCAACCCTTTTGCCCTCCCAAGCCTGAAGACATTGCTACCATATGCTATACAAGTGGTACTACGGGTACACCAAAGGTATCACTTCTTCAACTTCAGAATCTGCTAAATAAACCAGTATCTCTAGGGGTTATTTCTCTTGTTAACAAGATTTTATCTGGCTCTCAGTTTCTTATTTTCCTTTTTCTTTGCCCCTCTTGAAAGGGTGTCGTACTATCCCATGCGAACCTGATAGCAAGTGTTGCGGGCATGACCCTTTCCATCAAGTTTTATCCTTCTGACATGTGAGTTTGGCCTAAATATTTTTGTGCTATGTTGTGTATATTTGATTTTGATCCTGATTTAGTGCTTATGTGAATATTCTTACAGATACATATCCTATCTTCCTCTCGCGCACATCTATGAACGTGCCAACCAAATTACATCGGCATATTATGGTGTTGCTGTTGGCTTCTACCAAGGGGTATGCCAGTTAATTGGATATTATGTAGTATTTAGTCTTAGCTTCTTGGTGTGGCCTTGTTTCTTAGACCTCTGATCCTGGATTCATGATCAGCGAGCAAATTGGGTTTATTAAAAGTGGCTTATTTCAATCCACATGTAGCACTTTTTCAAACGCTTTGTAGAGATAAAATTTGGTGCTTTTGGAATCTTTGTTTAGCTCTACACTAATTCAGTTTATGAATTATTAACACTAAAAGGGCTCTTATAGACAGCATCTGTTTTGCAAAGCATTACTTACTATTACCTTTTCTACTCTGCAGGACAATCTGAAATTGATGGATGATTTGGCGGCACTTAGACCTACAATATTTAGCAGTGTTCCTCGTCTGTACAACAGGATATATGCTGGGTAATGTTTATGTGATGTGCTAAATAGTATATATCTTTGTAGGCGGGTGTCTTAGACTTTGCCGATCTGCTCATTGTAGGATCACAAATGCTGTACAAACTTCTGGCGTTCTGAAGCAGAGACTGTTCAATGCTGCCTACAACTCTAAGAAGCAAGCTGTCATGAATGGTAAGTTGTCTAAAACTTTTTGTGATGCTCCTGAGGTTGCTTTAGATGATTGCGACGGACACTCATCTAGAAAAGATATTTGTACAATACCCATCTGGGATTTGCAAAAAATACTTTTGCTTGCTTTTGTGGCCCATCTTCATGAACTTCTATCTCTTTTATACTCAAATCTCATATTTTCAGGTAGAAAACCATCACCAATGTGGGATAGATTGGTATTCAACAAAATAAAGGACAAACTGGGGGGGCGAGTTCGTCTTATGACCTCAGGTGCTTCACCATTGTCGCCAGACGTGATGGAGTTCTTGAGAGTGTAAGTTGACCATTATTGCTACTCTAAAGTACTGGAAGATTTTATTCATCATATTGTGACTCTTGTTGATGCTGAGGACTATCAGTAGTTGGCTATGCTCTGAACAAATTCCTTCTTGCAGATGTTTTGGCTGTCTAGTAATGGAAGGGTATGGCATGACTGAGACTTCATGTGTCATAAGCTCAATGGACGATAGTGATCTCTTAACTGGTCATGTTGGTTCACCAAATCCTGCGTGTGGTAAGGTTTTAATTAGTGATGGCAGATAAACATCTTTGCTGTCAAGAGTTATGTCTCTTGATTTGCTCTTCCTTCCATATTATTCCCTTCTTGAGCTAAATTTTAGGACTGTTTGAGGCATAGAAATGGTTTTCCCCTTCCTCTATTACATTTTACAGCCCTAGAGTTAATCTAAAGGGTGCTAAAGAAAAACTTTAAATGACTTCAACTTTTCTATGACTGCTATTTTCAGAGATAAAACTCGTGGATGTTCCGGAAATGAGTTACACATCAGAAGATCAGCCTCATCCTCGTGGAGAGATTTGTGTTAGAGGTCCTATTATTTTTGAAGGCTATTACAAAGATGAAGTGCAGACGTACATAACCTTTGCACATTGATATTTCATTATTCTTTTTGTGATTGCGACAAGTTTCTCCGAGATAATTTGCCTGACATAGTAGTTAACAGGAGGGAGGTAATTGATGAAGACGGGTGGCTGCATACTGGTGATATTGGATTATGGTTACCTGGAGGCCGCTTGAAGATTATTGATAGGTAGAATCTATTTGATATGATTAGGACGGACAAATTCATTTTGAGATACAAACAACACTTCTCCACCAGGGCCCCATATTTGTGGGCGACTAGGTGGTCGGAAGGAGCTTTCGTTAACCCTTCCATTCCATCAATTAAATCTTATATTAGGTTACATGGTTTTCAACGTTTGTATGCCTCTTGTGATATTAGAAACATCTATCATACTGAGCCTTGCTTGTCACCAATGGTAGTCTGATCTTTGAATGCTCATTATGAATAGGAAGAAGAATATCTTCAAGTTGGCACAAGGTGAATACATAGCTCCTGAGAAAATTGAGAATGTTTATGCCAAATGCAAATTTGTTGCACAGTGCTTTGTCTATGGTAAGCAGATAATGAACTTTTCTCTTACGGAATCATTAAATGGTGTCTCCTTTGCTCACTGCTGCAACATTGCAGGTGATAGCTTTAATTCCTCTTTAGTAGCAGTGGTTTGTGTAGAGCCAGATGTCTTTAAGGAATGGGCATCATCTGAGGGAATCAAGGTAGCTTTTAATCTTCAACATTTAGCCAATGCATTTTCATTTTGGCAAATGCTTCACTTAAAGCAACTTGTGTGGAGGTCATCATTTAGATTTCGTGTTTCATTGCATTAACCATCATTTTTTTTAACAAGCATTAACCATCATATTTTGAGTATCTTATCATTAACTCTGCACAGAGCACATGAGCTGTGCTTATATTCACACAGGCAGAAAATTACAGTTTGCTTCTAGAGCTTCCCATAAAATATACTGGTAATTAAATGTTTGGCCAGCTTTTTTATTCTGATGATGACTTATTTTGATATATTCCTGAATGATTTTCCTTTGGTCAAGTGAATCCAGGAAATTGACACTTAGCTTGCTAAGCACAATAAATATCTAGTCACCTTATCACATAAAACAGTCTAAAGCAAATTTGTCAAGGAAATCACTGGACCGGCATATTGAGCTAAGTCACACCTATAAACTTGAAAACTGGTGTTTTTATCCATTGTTTGGAAAACTGCTCATCCCGTGCAGCCATGATAGGAACTGCACAATGCAGGGTTAGGGAACAAAACTACTATGAGCGGCCGATATTTACCAAGTTCAGCAGTTAAAACTGAATGTTTTAAGTGATATGACAAATCCATGCACACCTCATTAAGATCATATTGGCATACTTTACCAACAAAAAAAAGAAGAAGAGAGCAGACCCCATTAAAGACGAGAGTGAGGTACAACTCGGCCATTTCTGTCCACTGCCCTTCTCACGGAGCTGTACGTGGATGTTACCTTAAAAAATGGAATCACAAGCTCACTTATTGCATTAACTGTTACTTTAAATTAGACATTAGATATGTTCAATGAAAGAACTACAAGATTACTTAATACATTAAGTACCACTTATAATGATTACAGATTTTAGATGGAACCAATTTGACTTGTCACTGAAAATGGCCAATCACTAAATATTTCATATTGCTGCAAAACCAAATGGTGTGCGATTAAAATTGAAAGTGCTTAGTAGATACAAGACTTGCATACTCTGGCGTGACATTCTCGGAAAACTTTGAAATGATGGCTCAAGGAGAATTAGCCATACAGTCTGAACTGATTCAGACTGGAACTGGACAAAGAGATAGGAATGTAACATGTCCCAGCAAACTGTAAACTCAAAATTCAAACAACATGGTAAAATGATCAGTTATTAACAGTTTTGGATAATTATATAGGTTTATTTTCATATTTTTTTTAAATAAGATGTTATTATACTTTAAAGACATAAAAGTTCACAAATATGAACTAGTAAGACATTTTCAGCATTTAGTTCTATATCATCCGTTTAAGGAGATAACTAAAGTGTAACCTAATGTATTCACCAATTGAAGAAGCTGGCTGATAATCCCTTGGTTTTAATGTGCTGTCTCCAGTATGAAAGTTTGGGACAACTGTGTAATGATCCAAGAGCGAAGGCTGCAGTTCTTGCTGAGATGGATGCTGTCGGAAGGGAAGCGCAGGTAATGTGTTTGACTTTAGCTTTCTGTTAATTCCTGAGTTTTAGTTTCTTAAGATGAGAAGTGTAAGTTTCAATTGGACTGAAAGTTGATGCTCTCCTTTTACTCTTGACACAGTTGAGAGGTTTCGAATTTGCAAAAGCTGTAACATTGGTTATCGAGCCTTTCACGATCGAAAATGGTCTGCTCACTCCCACATTCAAGGTAATTTTCCTTGCATGTCTCATGTTTTTAAAATCTGAAGCAAATCAAATGATAAAAAGCTATTCTTTTGGTCCATAATGGTGTATTCTTACAATCCCAAATGTCTTTATTAATATACTTTTCATGTTCTGTTCCAATTTTCCAGGTGAAGAGACCGCAGGCAAAGGCTTATTTTGCCAAAGCAATATCTGATATGTATAATGAGCTTTCTACATCAGATCCAGCAGCCCAGAAATCGCTATGACCAATGGTAGACGAGAAAGCTTCAGCTGTTCCCTACACTTTCCTTACTCCAAAATAAATACCAAACAAAATGATTATTGTAGAATAGAAAGCTCATAGAGGATTTTTTTTAAACTCGAGTTATTAATAGATTTCTTGTTGTAATATGTACAATGCTCAAATAATTTATATTCGGCTGTTCTATTATAGATAATTTTTCTGCGGTTAAGGGTCTGATTTGTCCCTTTACTATCATAAATAGGTCTTATTTATTCTCCGTTTAAGTTTTCTATCAAAAATAACCCTACATTTATACATTAGAGTCATATTTACCCTTACACGTTAAAAACACCATCCCTTCTTTTAAAATCCACTTGGCATCCTGTTATTGGACCAATTGACCTGCCCCATTTTTTTTTTTATTTCAAATCAGCCCGATCCCAACAACAAAACTACACCCACCTATTGGTTTGGTTTTGGTTTTGTATTTTAAAAATACGATCAAATTTGGTTTGGTTTTGGTTTTAATAAAAAAATAACCAAAAAAATCGAACCAAACCAACTATAAAAGTAGTTATTTGAATTTATTAATCTATATAAAGTTTCTAAATTTTTATGGTGCATATTAGTCCGTCCCATTTTAGTTTAGTTCTTTGTTGTTATAACAATATAGTTTTTTGACTCATGACACTGAGATATGTCTCCATAAGAAGATAAATGCCAAATCTGACTGCTAAAATGGACAACGATTCTCTTTTTCTTTTTCACTTTTAGCTGATAAACTTATGTTTCCCTAACATTTCATTAACATTGCCGTAATTAAAAATCGATTGACCCACCCCAAGTTTTTTTCTTCTTTTAGAATGTAAAGGCAAATAATTAAATTATTATAGTAACAATAAAGAACTAGACTAAAATGGGGCGGACTAATATGTACCATAAAATTTAAGAAACATTATATATATGTATGTAATAATAAATTCAAATAACTACTTTTATAATCGGTTTAGTTCGATTTTTTCGGTTATTCTTTTTATTAAAACCAAAACAAAACCAAATTTGATCGGATTTTTTAAAATAAAAAACCAAAACCAAACCAATGGATGGGTGTAGTTTTGTTGCTGGGATCGGGCAGGTTTGAATTAAAAAAAATGGGGCGGGTCAATTGGTCCAATAAAGGGATGCCAAGTGGATTTTAAAAGAAGGGATGTTGTTATTAATGTGTAAGGATAAATATGACCCTAATGTATAACGGTAAGGATATTTTGATAGAAAACTTAAACGGAGGATAAATAAGATCTATTTATGATAGTAAAGGGGCAAATCAGACCCTTAACCGTTTTTCGGAGACAAATAAGTTTAACCTTGGGCAAAGTATGGGATGGAATTGTTTCATTTAACTCCTCGTCCTAGCCTTGATGACGGAAATAGCAAGAATGACACAAATTTACTCTTTCCCTAAATAATGAAGGGCCGATCTAGGAATCATGCTAATTTTCTTTGTATCATTCCAATCTTTATCTGATGCCCCGAAGGACTACATGATTGTATTTGACTCGAGAGGAGAGGACCCTCCCTCCAAAGAAATGGACAATTTTTTTAATTAAGTAGTTGTTAGTGCTAGATACGTTGTGGACATTTTTCCTCATAGTTTCTCTGATTATGGATTCATGTGTAGTATGGTCGCATTTGACTCTGCCATTATCACACCAAACTATATATATATAGTGGCTGTGGGTTGAGCTTCTGAATGTCGCATATCAAGTCGATAAGATATCGAATTCGAACAGGCAATCAAGCTTGGACTCGGAAAGGCATTACCGATAATATGGTGGTAATGACACCAGGTAGCCACTTTTAGGTATGCTATTTAAAATATATTCACAGTTTATAATGTATTTAAACACTAGCCAATTTCGCTCAAACTTTAGGACATCGTGTCCAGAAGTTCGATTCTTATATCTTGATCTTTAAATTAGTAGTTCAGAAATTCAGGATATTTAGTCCTGAATTTTAAAATAGTAGCTCAAAAATTTAGGGACTATGTCCTGAATTTTTAAATTCAAGATATTTAGTCCTGAAGTTTAGGTGAATTGGCTAATTTGTAAATACATTGTAAATTGTGGATATATTTTAAAAAGAAAAAATAATATTGTATAGCCGTTGTAAAAATAATACCCGAAAAATCTACATTTTTGTATATATATATTATACAAATTTTATATACTTTTCTGGGTAACGGATGTAAATAGTTTTGGCGCGGACTAAAAGTGATAATATCCCTTATAAAAAAACGGACTTAAAAGTGGCTATTGTTGGAGGGATTTGCATCTATACCCGCTTTTTGGGTCACATTTTAACTTGTGCCCGCTTTGCAAAAAAAATTGCAAGCATACCCACTTTTTCGCGTAACTTCACTATACGGGGCCGAAGTAGCAAAGACAATCACGCAAAACTTCAGCATTCTAGTAGATGGGCCTGAAGTAGCAAAGGCAATACGCTGAAGTTTTTTTGTCCTCGATAAGATGCTGAAGTTATTTAGTTCATTTGTTAAAACTTCAGCACTAAAATAACTGAAGTTTTTTTGTCCTGGATTCATTAGTTTTGTCATAAAACTTCTTCAAAGACTTCAGCAGAAGATGCTGAAATTATTTAGTTCATTTGTAAAAACTTCAGCACTATATAAGCTTAAGTTTTTGAAAAAGCTTTCTAACATACTAGATAAATAATCACCTTATTTTTTGTCACGACCCGGATTTTCCGCCATCGGGAGTCGTGATGGCTCCTACTCGTAGAAGCTAGGCAAGCCAAAAACTTAGAAATCATTAACTCCTTTATTTTAAAACTTCTTACCAATTATAATAACAAGGAAATAAACCGTTAAATAACAGCGGAATATGAAATTTAGCGGAAGTCTTAAATAAGTAAAAAACAAAAATGTCTCAAAGACCATCACATGCCTCTAACCAGAACCTGGTGTCACAACATCCACGGACTACTAAGAGTACTAAATACAACCATTTGAAAGAAATATAGCACTGTTTGTCTCGAATACATGAGATAACAGAATATGAAATAAGATAGAGGAGACATTCCTGCAGACGCCTGCAAGGCTACCTCGGTGTCTTGGTAGACTGAAGGCTGGCTCCCGAGCTACTGCTGCTGACCAAAAGCTACTCCGGTATCTGCACAGAGTGCAGAGTGTAGTATCAGCACAACTGACCCCATGTGCTGGTAAGTGTCTGGCCTAACCCCGACGAGGTAGTGATGAGGCTAGGACCAGACTCCAGATAAACCTGTGCAGTTATATAATATATGGCGAAAAAAGTAAACAGGTAATAAGCAATTCAAGCTGGGAAAGGGGAGCATGCTTCGGGGTAGCAGATAAAACAGAATATCAAAGAATAATAAGGAAACTACAATTTAACTTCTAACACGGATAAAAGAAATAAGGCAACTTTCACTTTCAGTTTCATCTTGTTGCAGCCGTGCAACCTGATCCCATTTCTCATATCTTATGGTAGGCGTACCACCCGCTCCCATTTCATTATATCTCGTGGTAGACGTACCACCCGCTCCCATTTCATTATATCTCGTGGTAGGCGTACCACCCGCTCCCATTTCATTATA